CCCCGTATATGTGGCTCTGGGTATCTTTGTACAGCATCGAGTCTCAGCCCTGCCTGTGGTCGATGAGAAAGGTGAGATTAGGAAAGGAGAGGGAAGACTCTTAGGGGTCAGGTAGCTGAAGAAAATCTGTTTTCCCTTCAGCTCAACATGGGAGGGGGGGCAATTCTTTGGGGAAGGGGGAGCCTTGGATGCCAGATCTCCTTTCTGAGCTGCCTCTATCCCCCTAGGGCGTGTGGTGGACATCTACTCCAAGTTTGATGTTATCGTGAGTGATTGTGGAGGGGTTGGGATATTGGGAAGGGGAGGGATATTGAATGTGGAAAGGGAAAAGAAGGAGTCTTTTTTGTCACTTGAGTCTTAGAAGTTTCCAAGCATTCAAATTCTATTTGAAAATAAATTGAATGATCTGTGTATGGCTTGACAATTGCCCTAAACCCCTGTGGTGAGATTGGGTGTGTCCAAGATTTAGGGACTGGTTCCCTTGCTTCCCTGCAAGCCCTTCCTTTCTCTCCCCAGAATCTGGCAGCAGAAAAGACCTACAACAACCTGGATGTGTCTGTGACCAAAGCTCTACAACATCGATCACACTATTTTGAGGGTGTTCTCAAGTGCTACCTGCATGAAACTCTAGAGACCATCATCAACAGGCTGGTGGAAGCAGAGGTAGGGAGGCCAGTGACTCTAAAGGAGCTGGGGGAAGTAGTCTTGAGAGTTGGGGTTTAGCATGGAGAATAGGGGTTGAGGGGCTCACCCCAACTGAGGCTGGCACTAAGCATTCCTTCTTCTTGTTCTGTGCCAGGTTCACCGACTTGTAGTAGTGGATGAGAATGATGTGGTCAAGGGAATTGTATCACTGTCTGACATCCTGCAGGCCCTGGTGCTCACAGGTGGAGAGAAGAAGCCCTAGCAGGAGGAAGGAGTTGGGCAGCATCAGGGGATATGCTTCACTTGCTGCCTGATGAAAGCTGTAGGAATCAGATGAAACCTTAGGAGAACTGACTGTTCCCTACTCAGAGTCCCCTGCCCTCTGTCTGAAAGCTAGAGGAGGCATGAGGAGAAGGGGAAAGGATTTTAGCTGCCCTTACCCTCACATGTATACTTGAGAAAATCTTTCAGCCTAGCCAATCCCAGCTCCTGTCTTAGACATAGCCCCCTTTTGGGTATAATATGGGCTCTGTGCTCCTCAGGCAAATACTGATCTCTGAGAGATCCCTAGACCTCACCCTTCCTTTGCCTCTGTCTCTGCTCTGACTCTATCCTAAGATAATAGCACAACCAAACTCTTCATATTTTTATTCTTCCTAGTTCATGCTGTATGGAGGAGGCTGAGTCCATTTAGTGTCATTTCTTCCAGTGATCTGAGTGGGGAGTATTGTGGGGAGGAAGGCTTTTGGTTCTTGTGCTGTAAGCGTATGAAGGAAGATGGTTAAGTGGTGGAGGAGGTCAGAGTGGATAGCAAAGGTTATTGCTTTTCATGGCAAAGCTGATTAAATGACAAGAATCTCACATGTTATTGCAGTGTTTGATTTTTACACTTAATAGACACTTTCCCCAGCCTTTCAACTTCATATGACTTCTTCAACTCATCACTAATAACAGTAGTAATAACAACACACATACATATATAACTGCATACTAAATATCATTCTCAGTGCTTTACCTATACAAGTTATGTATTCCTTATCCTAAATACTTGAGACTATGTGGTTTGAATTTTGGAGCAATTCAGATTTAAAATTTTTTGATTAGGGATTGTCAACTGTGTTAACACATTTAGTCTTCAGAACCATACTAAATACTATCCTAGTTTTAATAGATTTTGTGTGTGTGTGTGTGTGTGTGAGAGAGAGAGAGAGAGATACTGGTACTGGGGATTGAACCCAGGGCCTTGTGCATGCAAGGCAAGCACTCTACCAACTGAGCTGAATCCCCAGCCCTTAATAGATTTTTTTAAAAAGTGCGGCATAGAGGGACTAACTGGCTCAAGGCCACAAGCTACTAAAAAATAAAATTAGGATTAGAATCCAAATGGTCTAGATCCAGGTTTCATGCTTTTTCTTTTTCTTTCTTTCTTTTTTTTTTAATCACTATGCTAGACTTACTACCTCTGTAATTCTCCTTTCACAAGTGTTGTCCACCCTATTCCCTTATTATTCACTTTCTCCTCTGCCTGAACCATAGCTGAGGCCCCAGGAAAATCTCATAACAGTGATAGCTCTCCAGAGAATAGACAGGTCTTTGGGCAGAGAGACCTGCCACCATCAGCACTTTTCCTAAGGAAGGTTGGATTGTTTGAACTTTGCTGGGCTGGCACTATCCTTGAACTTACAAATTCTTGCCTTTCTTCCAAGATAAGAATGAGCTAGACAGTGGTAGAACACTTGCCTAGCATGTTTGGCCCTAGTTTAAATCTCCAGTAGCTCGCGGCGCGCAAACATGTGCGCACACACACACACAAACACTGAGCTAACAGTAGTGGGTAAGGGAATAGCAGGAGTAAGGTCACCCTATCAGACCCACTCCCTATGCTGAAATTACATGGACTGAAACAGTAGTCAGCATCAGACACCTCAGTGACTGCCAGACTATGGATATGAGCCAGATTCCAATGCCATTTCACTACTCCCTTGCAGGTACAAAATAATTTCCCATCCAAACCAGGAACTACAGCATCTCTACAAGCCTGGGCTTCCCTCTACTGTTTCTAAGTCTTTCTTTTTATTTATTTATTTTTTTTTTTGCATTTAAAAATTTTTTTTAGTTGTAGATGGACACAATATCTTTATTTTTACTTGTTTATTTTTATGTGGGGCTGAGGATCAAACCCAGGGCCTCACGCTTGCAAGGCAAGCACTCTACCACTGAGCTACAACCCCAGCCCCTGTATCTAACTCTTCTGATGAACCATCAGCCTTACTATACTTTTTCCAAACCAGGATTCCTAATGGAATCTCCTGATTCCAAACCAGGAGAAAAGCATCAAGACACTTGTTAGAATTCAGCTTTCAGTGCTGCATTGTGGCTAGGCCCTTGCTTCTGTGCTCACCTCTTCACAGCTCTGGCAGCACATTCCCAAACTTGGGGGAGGAAGGCTTCCAAGTTATTAGAATTAGAGTATGTTTATATGTGTGTGGGTAGGTGCATGGTGGAAAAGACAGATGTCTCCTTATGTCACATTCCCTCATTAACAAAGATTTGTCTGGGGAGGAGGCAAGAGCTTTAAAAAGCCTCTGGACTCTGGTGGAATCCAGAGTGGAAAGAAGCACCTTCAAGCAGAGCCATCAGTGCAGCTGGTATGTGCATGGAATCAGGAGGGAGGACATAGATGGGACAGGGGCTGTTTGGGTTCTTTCCAAGGGTCCATGTTAAGGAGCAGAGGGTCTAAGTTTTGTGCTATTTCTCAGTAGTAAGTCCCATCTCTGCCATGCAACCCTTTTTATTCCCATTACCTTAAAAGGTAGGGTCTGTACCCAAAGAGGTCCATGTCCTTTAGCAGAAAACAAATTGGGATCTCCTGCTTTTCCCATTTTCCTCTAAAATCCAACCAATCAGTCTCAGAATCTGAGGATGGAACTGAGGGAAGGACAAGGGAGCTCCACAGGCTTCTAACCTTTTCTTCTCAGAAGAGGCAAATTGTCCCTTGTTCCTTAGGAACCATTACCATACACACTTTCTCCCTCTCTGCACCCCTCCCTTCCACGGAAGCTGCTGCCATGGTTGCCAGGCAATGTTGCTAAGTCTCTGCATGTAAGGGTTGGCGTGGGCTGTGCTGCCACTAACATTACCATGGTGAATCAGGGGACACCTGGTATAGGCTTAGGGGGAGGGATCATGTGGATGTAAGCAACAACCTCCTAGGACAGACTGAGCCCAAGAGGCTAGTTCCACTTTAGAAAGGGGTTGAGTGAACTAGGAATTGTGGTAGTGGAGAGGGAGCCCTACAGTGGGAAATACAGGCCACTTTTATTGCAGTTGCTAGGGAATTTGTTTTGCCAAGGGAGCACATCATTCCTCCTCCATCCCTCTTAGTAAGGGTGCAAGTGCATAAGCACTCTATTCTGTCCTCCATAAGGCTGGGCAGGGCTGTGTAGGCACAGAACAGTGTAACCCCAAAATTCTGGCTTCTGTACTTGGGGAAAGTATCTGCTCCTGGGTGGGGTGGCTCCACGGGTGCCCAAGAGCAAATATCTAGAGTGGGAGTGGTAGAACAGCTTAGATAGCCACCATGGAGTGTGTCCTACTATACCAGCAGCCACTCTGCCACACTCAAAAAGTGAGGGTTAAGGATGTAGGGGTCACCCTTTCTGAGCTTGGGAGAACAGCTCTCTCCCCGAATCATACAAAAGCTTCCTGAAAGCCACCGCCTCCTCTCTCCACTGCTTGGGAGCTAGTTACTCATCTCATCTCTGCACCCGAATGCCACTGCCGCTAAAAATAGCGCCCCCAGCCGTGGGCCAGCCCCTCCTGCACCCCAACCCCATGGAAACCAGCACAGAGAGTGGCAGGCAGAGACCTTAAATTCCATTCTCATCATTCCCCGTTGTGGAAATAAGTCCAAGGCAGGAAGAAAGTACCAGATAGAACCCTAGTGGTCTGGCAACCTGACAAGCAGGAGAGTAAAGGGTTAAAACAGCAGGAAGGTTGAAGAAATGGGGACGACTAGAGAGGAGGGCACTGTCAGCGTGGTAGGAATCAGAAGCCTCTCCTCCACCCACACTGTGGGTCCCATTAGGCTTGGGGGACAGAGCAGTGGGAAGGGGCGTCCAATCCTGGGCCCCAGGGGGCGGCCGTGTACATGGGGGAGGTAGCAACGCTGAGCCGTCCGCGCTGTGTCACATGCGCGCGCGCGCACACACACAGACAGGCACACACGTGTGCCTGGGTATATATAGTTCCCAGTCCCTGGGCCCGCCGCTCTGCAGTGGGCGCCGGCTCCCTGGGCTGGGAGGGGGCTCCAGGGGCGGGTGGGAGGGTGGGGGGCCGGGGTGGGGTGGGGCAGGATGCTGGATGGCCCGCTATTCTCCGAGGGGCCCGACAGCCCCCGGGAGCTCCAGGATGAGGAGTCTGGCAGCTGCCTCTGGGTGCAGAAGTCCAAGCTGTTGGTGATCGAAGTGAAGACTATTTCCTGTCATTATAGTCGCCGCGCCCCTTCTCGACAGCCCATGGACTTTCAGGCCAGCCACTGGGCTCGCGGGCCCCAGAACCGCACGTGAGTGAAGGAGGGGTGAGGGGAAGCAAGTGGTGGGGCGGGGATTGGGGTCCAGATCTCCCCACAGGCACCGGTGAACACCGCTGGTCCCCATTCTCTTTCCCGCGCCTCCCTCCCCCACCCCTCGAGGGCTCAGGCCTGACTCATTCAGCGTTGATTCGGGGGACATGAGTGGGCGTGAGAAAGGGCAGGAGGTAAGATGGGGCAGGCGCTATTAAAGTGTGCATGGAGAGGTGGCGAGGAGTCCCACTTCGACTTCAGCCCTAACATATACGCACGTGCACACTCGCACACACTCACACAAACCCCTTCACGTGGCTGCCCCAAACGGTCACCAGTGCTCCCAGTTCCCTGGACCTCGGCTCCCTTCCCCCACAAACTGCTCACCTGGGTTCCTGCTCATTGTCCCAGGTGTAGGCCAAGCCCGGGATCCCCCGAGCCGCCGCCCCGCCGTCCCTGGGCCTCCAGGGTGCTGCAGGAGGCGACCAACTGGCGGGCGGGGCCTCCAGCCGAGGCCCGAGCCCGGGAGCAAGAGAAAAGGAAAGCGGCGTCGCAGGAGCGGGAGGCCAAGGAGACCGAGCGAAAAAGGCGCAAAGCTGGTGGGGCCCGACGAAGCCCCGTGGGTCAGCCGCGCCTGGAGCCCCGGAACGTCCCTCGGGTGGCCCAACCTGCAGGGCTCCCAGTTCCCTCTCGGCCCGGGCGCCTGGGGCAGGTGGGGAGAGCTTGTCCATCCGCGCAACCGCAGAGCGACCCGGGGGCGCCATGGGCGGGGCCCTGGGGAGGTCGCAGGCCAGGGCCCCCCAGCTATGAGACTCACCTGCTACTCAGAGGCTCTGCAGGTACTGCCCCACGACGCCGCTGGGACCGGCCACCACCCTACGTGGCTCCACCTTGTTACGAAGGCCCCCACAGGACCTTGGGGACCAAGCGAGGTCCCGAGTTCTCGCAGGCACCCATCTTATCAGCCCCAACTCCGACCCCCGCCAGGACAGAGGGAGGGCGCACAAAAAAGAAGTTAGACCCTCGAATCTACCGGGACGTCTTAGGGGCTTGGGGTATCCGACAGGGGCGAGGTCTCTTAGGGGGATCTCCAGGCTGTGGAGCGGCCAGAGCGAGGCCAGAGTCTGACAAGGGGGCCACGGAGAAAAGTCTGGGCCTAGCGGCTGCTGGCCTCAACAATAGTAGTGACCGCCACTCCCAAGCCAAAGCTACAGGTAGCCCAGGCACGGAGATAGCTCCTTCCAGGTCTGCAACTGCGTCTCCGAGCCCCCCACGTCCAGCTCCCAGGTCCAGGCACCATCACAAGGGCTCGAGGGAAGGGAAAGAGGGAAGAGAACCTATCTGGCTGCCCAAATGCTGGTTTCCTTCCCCTAAAAAGCAGCCACCCCGGCATAGCCAGACGCTCCCCAGACCCTGGGCTCCAGGAGGCACTGGATGGAGAGAGTTCCTGGGTCCTAGAGAAGGGACAGGATCTGAGACCCTGGAGGGTTGGAAGGTGACCCGCCGCGCCCACACCCTGCCTCGCAGTTCCCGGGGTCCCGCTAGTGGAGAAGGTGTCTTTGTCATTGACGCCACGTGTGTGGTGATACGGTCCCAGTATGTTCCCACCTCTCGAACCCAAAAGGTGCAGCTTTTGCCCTCTGGGGAGCCACGCGTTGTGGGAGATGCTCCCAGGCAACCCAATCCCTGTAAGGAAGAGGGCGAGGGGTCCGCGGTCTTTCCCTCCAGCGACCAGAAACCGCTATTGAGCAGTCTCCTTTTACACCAGCTGGGCAGGGGGCGCGGGGGCGAAACTGAGGACGGGAAGCCGGGGGAATCTTCACTGGAGGAGCGCGCCTCCGGCATCTTGGGGCTCTCGGTAGGCGAAGTAAACCTGCCGGACGCCCCCACGCAGCCAGGTAGCCCAGAGCACCCAACCTTAGGCCCATCAGCTCTGGGAGGCGCCGGCAGCGCAAAGGGCTTGGAAGTGGCAGTGGTCCCGCGGCGCGCGGGCGGGGGCTGGGCGCGGACCCCGGGGCCCTATGCCGGGGCCCTGCGGGAAGCCGTGTCCCGCATCCGCCGCCACACTGCCCCAGACTCGGACTCAGATGAAGCTGAAGAGCTCAGCATCCATAGCGGTTCCTCTGATGGAAGCGACACAGAAACCCCGGGCGCCTCCTGGCGGAATGAGAGAACCCTGTCGGTGGTTGGGAACGCCCGGCCACGGGAAGGCGGGAAGACAGCAGAGCTGAGCGACAGTATCCAAGAGATTCTAGGTGTCATCAGCCAAACTGAGCAGGCCCTCTTTGGGGCGAGGGATGTCAAGGGGACCCCACAAGGGAATAGGGAGAGGCAGTGAGAGACTCCTTCTTGTATTTGTATCCTCTGACCCATCCCTCTTTGGACCTCCTTCTTCCCCACAGAGACTTCCTTTGCTCTCTTTTCCTTGTTTCCCTACCCATACCGTTTCCCATACTTGAAATAGAAATGAAAGGAAAAGGGAGCATGTGGCATTTTATGGTTGTTTCAGGAGAGATGAGAATGAGCAGATTTAATGCCTGTTGTATGCAAGACATTCCTTGAGATCTTCAGCAGGGGCTGGTGCCCAAGGTGTGGAGCTGAACAGAGAGGCCTAGTAAGGACCAGGCTAAAGGTCAGGGATGGAGGCAGTCATAGGAAGACAATGTCAGGGCAGGACCTCTGGGCAGGAAGGATCTAGGGACAAAGTGGCCAGGTGATAGAGGGGTTCTTGGCAGAAGAGGGTCCAGAAGCAACCAGCAAAGCAGGAAAAGGACTGTTGAGTCACAGGTCTTGAGTTTTGGCCCCAACTCTGCCACTGATTTGCCAGTTGACTTACACCTGTCACTTCCCCTCTCCAGGGCTCCTAGTATTTAAAATGAGGGAGATCTATGGTTCTTTCCAGCTCTGGAATTTGGGGATCTTTGAGGAGGCCTCATCTCAACAAGCCAGGAAAGAGCATTGAGAATAGGCTAACAGAATCCAAGGGTTCCCCAGTTGCTTCCTTGTCACCTTCACTTATCCTCAATTCAGGAGACTGTCTAGGGTTTACAGAAGAACTGAGTGAGCAAGGTGCTCATACCCTGGTCTCCCTCGTTTAGATGAGGGTTCCCCAAAGCAAGGCAGGATAGTGACCCTGTTACTGTCCCTGGCCTGTGGTGGTCCAAGCTGGGGAGGGAAGGTAGCCAATGAATCAGCTTGGGACCTCTCCAGGCCTCCCCCTTTTGCTTCACCCCCATGTCCCTTAGTGGTGTACTAAAGTATTATTACGATTTCTCAGCCAGGTGTATTGCCCACCTGACAGAACCCTGAGAATTCCTGCATCTTTGCCTCTTCAAGAAACCCTCCAGGCAAGGAAAAAGGCTGGTCTCAAAAAGACCATAGGGTGGGGCGTGATACTCACAGTAGCCACTAAGGGGCGCGCGCAGGTCGCGGATTTCCCCGGTTGCTAGTTCCTGAGTCCCCCTTATCCGGGCATTGCAGGTTATCTGATCCCTAGTTACCGCGCGCCTGTCCCCCGCCTTGCCACCTCCAGCTGTGCGGGGCCGGGAGCAGGCCTCCGGCTTCCCAGACCTCTGGAGCACGCCGAGCCCCTCTTTGTACTCATCCACGCCAAGTGGCTTGGAACGCGGACACTGACCTTTTTTTTTCTCTCCGATCCTGGACACATCCTCTGTTTGCCATTTACTAGCCATGTGAGCTTGGCCAAATCACTTCACCTCCCTGAGCCTCAGTTTCCTCATCTGTCAAATGGGGGTTTATAAACACCTACCTCGCAGGGTTGTTGTGAGGATTTAATGCGGTAATGTATGTAAAGCGCCTTGCACAGTGCCTAGCACACATTGGCGCTCAATAAATCTAAGCTTCCCTTTAACCAGTTCTGGCATCTTCCTTTCTCTGACCCTTTCCCCACACCCTCTCCCAGGGCTCCTCTGCTCCTTCCCGCTTGCTGTGAGGGGGGAGGAGGACTCCTTTCTTTGGTGAAAACTCTAGGCCCACCCATCTCCCCTACCAGGGACTCTCTCTTCCTCGCCCCCCACTCCACTCCTGCTACCTCTTCCCACTGCCTGGGAGCACTCCCCCCGCCCCCCATTCCGGGCAAGGGCTGAGTCAGCCTGGCTAAATTTAGCCGCTGGCTAGGCAGGCGCGGGGGCTTTGCCCAGACTCAGTCTCCGGGTCCTGGCCTGTCCCCCGGCCCCGCCTCTGTCCTCACTTCCATCGAGTCCCGCCAACCCCAGCTCCCGCTCAGCGTTCAGGTCCCCAGCTCCGCTCTCAAACCACTTCTGGTTTTAGTCTCCAATTATCTCGACATCACTCTGGGAAGGACTTGGAGGAGGCAGGGCTGCCAGTTGGATGTGAGGCGACCCAGGGCCCCCGAGGTTGGCCTTACTTCAGGACATGAGGGTCTCTCCTCTTGGTGTTTCCGAACCAGAGGGGAGAGCATTGGTTTGAGCTCTGGAAGAAGGTCCACCCCGCTGCCTGCCTTGAATGCACACTTCCAGATTTCAAATAGTTCTGGAAGGAGAGGGTGAAGGAAGTGGGGAGGAGGACCATACCATCTTGGGCAGAGATTAAAGGTTGCTGATATCTGTCTCCCTCCCATCGCAATCCTTAGCTGTTGCCAATTCTAACGACTAAGTGTTTACTGAGCAGTACTAGGAGCAAGACACTCTGTGCTGGCCTCCAGAAAGAGAAGCAAGGCATGCCTGACAATGAGGCAAAGATGAAACACAGAGATGATAGTACCGAGTGTGAATGTTAAATACTATGAGGAGTCAAACTAGGGAGATTACCATTTTATGAGATTCGGGACTTCTCCTTGGAGGAAGTGGCATTTGAGATAAAATTTGGTGAAAGAGCATTTCAAGTAGGATGGTGCCTGTCCTTAAGGGCATAGTCTGTAGTTCCAGTTACTCTGGAGACTGAGACAGGAGGATTGCTAGAGTCCTAAAATTCGTGACCAGTGTAAGCAATATCTCAAAAATCAAAACAGAAGAAGTAGAGAGAACAAAGTAGCAAAAAAGATATGGAGGGCTGGGGATGTGGCTCAAGCGGTAGCACGCTCGCCTGGCATGCACGGGGCACTGGGTTCAATCCTCAGCACCACATAAAAAATAAAAAAATAAAGATTTGTGTCCACCAAAAAATAAAAATTAAAAAATTATCTCTCTCTTTCTCTTTAAAAAAGATATGGATGCAGGGAAACAGGATATTTTTTAAATTATAAAATTAAAAGAAAAGAAAGATATCAAATGAGCCAGTCACAGTGGCAGGACTGTAAACCCATCTAAAGCAGGAGGATTCCAAGATGGAGACCAGCCTGGGCAATTTAGCAAGGCCTTGTCTCAAAATAAAGAAATAAATCAGGGCTGGGGATGGACCCAGTGGTAAGGTGCATGCCTAGCATGTGTGAGGCCCTGAGTTCAATCCCAGAACCACCAATAAATAAATAAAATTTTAAAAGGGCTTGGGGTGTAGCTCAATGGCAAAGAACTCCTGAGTTCAATTCCCAATACCTCCTTCCCACAAATTACCAAATGGTCTAGTCCTCCCAAAGTTGAGAGAACATTCATAGTGGAAGATCAATCAGTTGGGAGTGAAAATAGAGGTGGGAACAGGTGAACCTGGTACATTGGTGAACCCTACCCTCTTGGGCTTGGGAAGAGGGTAGGATTCAGGCTAAGAGGAAAACTAGGGAAGCCCACTGCTGAAGTGAGGGCAGCTGCCTGCAGTTTGCTACAACCTAGGGGTTCCAGGATCCTGAGGCAGGTAGAAGTGGTGAACTAACTGGGTGGTATAGTAGAGGGGCTGACCCTGTGGGAGTTGTCTCCACTATACTGCCTAAACACATTTGAGGTGAACATACAATAGTCTATTTTTTAAAAGCTCACCCACATTGCTACCATTATTGGAGAATTAAGGTAGCATGTTTAGAACTTGGACTTCGGGGCCTGGCAGCCTGTATTTAAACCTTGCCTCTACCTCATTCTAGCTGTGTGACATTGGGCAAGATACTCAATGTCTCTATGCCTCAGTGTCTTAACTTATATAAAAAGGAGAGGAGGATATTACCAGGTGTGGAGGTGCACACCTGTAATCCCAGCAACTTGGGAGCTGAAGCAGGAGGATCACAAGTTCAAATTCACCTTAGCAATTTAGCAAGACCCTAAACAACTAGCAAGACCCTGTCTCAAAGTAAAAAATTATAAAAAAGGCTGGGGTTGAACCCCTGGGTTCAATCCCTGTTTTTTTTTTTTTTTAAATATTTATTTATTTATTTTTAGTTCTCTGGCGGACACAACATCTTTGTTGGTATGTGGTGCTGAGTATCGAACCCGGGCCGCACGCATGCCAGGCGAGCGCGCTACCGCTTGAGCCACATCCCCAGCCCTCAATCCCTGGTTTAAAAAAAAAAAGGCAGGGGGGAAATATTAAAAGCACTTTTTGCATAGGATTGTTGAAAGGATTAAATGATTCAATATGCATAGTACTTAGAACAATGCATGGTAAGTGATATATAAGTATTAGCTCTATTCTTTCTCTTTAGCACTATTTCATTAGTGATGGAGTGTCAAACAAAAGGATGAGGGAAAGAAGTAGAAGTAAAAGAGGAGAAAGGGGTAGCAGAGTCCACATCAAGAGGAGCACAGGAAAAAAAAAAAAAAAAAAAGAGGAGCACAGGGTTTGGGCATGGTAACATATGCCTGTAATCCCAGAGACTCCAGAGGCTGAGGCAAGAGGATCCAAAGTTCAAGGCCATCCTGGGCAACTTAGCCAGACTGTCTTAAAATAAAAAATAAAAAGGGTTGGGATGTGGCTCAGTGGTAAAGTGCTCCTGGGTTCAATTTCCAATACAAAAAAAACCAAAAAAGCACTGGAGTGGATGCAAACAGCACCTTAAATGGGCCAGTGGTGTACTGGGAACACTTGAGTGATTAGGAACAACATGCTCCTTCTCCCAGAACTTCCCTCCATCTTTGCCTATGGATAGAGTTGGCACCAGTTGCCAAAGTTCTGGGGAGAAAGGGAGAAAGAGAAGTGGAGAAGTGACTGCAGGTCTGGGGCCAGCTCCTGGTAATCCATATCTCAGGCTGGCCCTGCAGGGCCCTGTGGGTGGGAGGCTGAAGGTTCCCTGCTGCGAAAATGACTTCTAAATTCGGCTGTGTCTGCCAGTCAGCCAGCCTCGTGATGGAGGCCACAACCACCCCCCACCTTAGTACTGCCTTACTGTTTATGAGTAGGAACAGCAGATACAGGAGGACATGGTCAGTTTGGAGCAGAGATCTTAGGTTAGTGTGGGTCCCTGTGACCCTCCCAATAGCCAGGTTCTTCCCTGGGAAG